ACATTAGATGGACTGCCCCATCGATCGAGATCAACAGCCTGTCCAATTGAACAGAACATTAGCTGGACTGTCCCATCAATCGAGATCAACAGCCTGTCCATGAGCAGCACGCTGCATGTCTCAGAGGGCACAACACTGGCCTCCTCCCATCTCTTTACCCAGATGTGGACTTGTTGTGTAGCAAATTCAATAATCAATCAATTAGTATCAGAATATTTAACGATTATTAATAACTCCAAATTATAAATCACAAACTCATGACTTGGTATGAAAGGGGAGTGATGGCACTCAACTTCAGCTATCACACACGATAACTTTAACAGAATAAGACTCGACTCAGGACGCTACCCGGTTTAAAACAGGACAACTTCAACAATAGAACTTCAACAATAGAACTAATCTCAGGGTCGCTACACAGCTCTGGACTCATTATGTCATACACACAAATCAAATGATCAAGTTCTTTCAAATACATAACTACTTAACAGAAAATCTGTGAATAATTGATCAGATGAACAGAATGAATAAAGAACACGATGAATAAATGAGTAGATTGAATAAGGGTGAAGCGTGTATGAATGAACATGTTACAGATAGACTCAGTCCATCATTGATTATGTCCTGTTCAGCAGCTGAGAGTGTTATTATTGTTCTAATCTAAGGGAGATTCTACTGAAGCTTTAAAGCTTATAGATATTATTTTTAAACTCAAATATTAAAAAGTGTTGAGATTTGGTAAACCTCAAGCTGGCAAATGAATGTGTAAAGGGACACCATACAAAACAAAATGTATTAACAGTTTAATAAGAAGTTCAAATGGTAACACTAGAGTAGATTCAAAATACAAGGATTAATTTAGACATTCAGATGTCTGTTTAAGATCTCTGGGGACATATAATATAATATCAATCATAAACATACATGAGGCAGGATGTTCCTATCAATGATAGGCTACTTAGGCTAGTATAGATTATGATTACGTATTGATTAGCAGAGGTATCTGAGTTATAGAAATCACAATTGACGGATATAGAAAACCAACTAAAGTACAGATGTGGTATCTGAAGGAATGGATCACTGTGAGAGAGGTCAACATGTGGAAGCACTCTTCACACTATTAGACATGTCAGCTAATCAGAAGATATCATTAAAGTACATTTCACTCATGTTGGAACATCAGTTCCTTTAGCGTTTTATTCACAGTTGTATTTGTTTGTGTCTTATCTGCTCCTCAGGACTGCAGACGGCTGTAAGAGGAGAACGATGGCTCATTAAACAGCTGGCTCAGGCCTTACGGGGATCTCTTACTTCATAAGTCACTTTACGTGTCAAGCTGACCCTCAGTTGAGGGGTCTCTCCTCTGTGAGTCCATCCTCCGAGTGTTAAACTAAGAATGCAATCACTGAGCGACCTCTGGCTCATCAGTTTCTGTGATTATCAGCAACATCTTCCCTTCAGGCCGAGTACAGCACGACATCACGGCATGGTGATCCACATGAGCAAGCAGACGGGCACATTACAGTACAATCTACAATGTTTCAGATCTATGTTAATTAAATCACAATAACAACTTTGGTTGACTCAGAACACGTGACTGGACTGTGGCTGGGCTAACATGCAGCCTAAAGGTGTGTTCTAGAGTAGCTGAGATTGTGAAAGTCACATCTAAAAGATGAAGTAAAGAGCAAGTGAACCATACTGTAAGTCAGTGGTTACAATCTGATACACGCTCACAAGTCTTTCATTAGGCTATTGCCAAAGTAACGATGTCAAGATCTACTGTATCATCGTCTTTAAGGACGTTTGCTGTCAGTACTCTACACAGATGTCTTGATTGTGCTCAGAGACTTTTCTTTATGTAGCAAACTGTCATACGTAACCATGCCCACTAAACTGGGAACATTAGCTCTGTGCACAGGCGCAGTTTGACTGGATCCAACTGTAGAGGAGAGTTTGAACCTTCTAACGTCTAACATCACATACTTTAGACAGGCGAGGTTAAGGGTGAGGGCATCGCTAGGTGCTGTTTGTCATCAGCTAAGTGGTGAACTGAGAGTCCAGCCACTTTGTCACCTGGTAGTCATGAGAATAGCTTGTGGAAGAAGTGTATCAGTCAAGAGTTAAAGGATAATATTGATTTATCATTATTATCACATTCCAATGTTCTTCATCTTTCTGTAGTTGTACTTTTCTATTCTTCTGAGCACTCAAATCGCTTTAACCCCGTCATTCACCCGTTCATACACGGACTACCATGCAAGGTGCCACCTGCCCATCAGGACCATCAGGACCATGCAGACACTGCAGGTCTCTATGGGTGTCTTGCCCAAGGACACGTCGTCGCTGAACCACCAATCCTCTGATTGGAGGACGAGCCGCTCTACACTGAGCCTCAGTCAGCTTCAAAGCAACACAAGTTGTTGCTTCCCTTTGTAAACATATGGGTGCATCACTGACACCTAATTCATGCTTCTTTAGTCTCCCAACCCTTTTAGACATGCTAATCTGATGTCACTTTAACATGCTGGTCTCATGTCTGAATAAGCACCCGTATCTAGTCTGTGTAACAGCATCCCACACACGCACAGTTAAAGCCTTGATGGATTAACTGTTTGAAAGTCCTTCAGTGATGCAGCCCGTGGAAGGACAAGAAACACTCAAACAGGTGATGTATTCATGTCTGAAAGGGGCTTATGGCTCCAGAGTAGCTGCTATTCCTCCCAGTTACCACAAGAGGTTAATACACTTAGTTACAGACTGCTGAACCTGAATAGTTGGAAAGATTTTCCTTAAGTCACCAACTGTGGCTGAAGAAGGTAAAACAATGGTGGCTGATGAAAGTACTGCAATATTTATATGTTTTCAGTATTACAAACTGAGTGTCTGGAACACTTTGTTCCAGCGTTCTTGGAACAAAGTGCTGTCATAGAGTTTTTCTCCGGAGCGCACTCGGCACAAAGTAGAGCGTTGTGTTATTCAGAGCACAACGCTCTTCTAATGGCAGAGCATGTTCAGGGCACTTTGTGTGCGACAGAGTGAATGCGTGATAGTTCCTGGTTTACACTGCACCACCCACCTGCTGTCAGCCTGCTCCTCCATCTCGTCTGAACACTTCAGCTCCTTCTCCAGCCTCTGGGAGTGCTCTGTAGCCTGGGAAGAAGCACCAATGGAAGCAACAGTTTGACAGAAACATTTGCCATTGTTCATTTCATAGAATGTTTCCTGATGTTAATGACTTTTTTATTTATTTTTTAAACACATCCATGACTAATAAATGGCTTAATGTAATTGATACCATGGTCTGGGTGAATGCTCCATTCTGATTGGCTGCAGGGTATCCATTACTTCCTGATATGGACACCTACTATGTAGTACCAGTTAAACTGTCTGTTCACTGTGCTGGCTGCATTACATGGAGAAGATGAATACATTTGAATATCTTATTTACAACAATCAGTGACTGTAACACAAGAATAAAACTGCCCTTCTGAACTTAAGACTCCTACATCCCATCACCACTCAACCTGCTCCTCCAGGCTGCGGCTGACAGTAGACATTCATGAAAATATTGATACTGATTTGGGGACAAAGACATGACTGGATAGCGAGCTGGTCTTGTCGTTAAACAGTCGTATTACATTTACGTTCGTCAATGGTACGCGATGTTATTGACTTTGAATCTTGCTAGCATCACGTCAGCTTTATACTAGCGTTACGCTAATCAAGATTTTGTGAAAATATTGATATTGATTATGGGACAATGACATGGCTGGATAGTAAGCTGGTCTTGTTAAACTTAGTGTCAAATTATATTTACCGTCAACCGTACGCAATCTCATTGACTTTAAATCTTGCTAGCACAACGTTAGCTTTCTGATGAGACGGTAACGATAGTTTCAGGTATCGGTAAAGCCTCAGGGGTACCGGGTAAAGGGAATGGCTCGTGGAGAAATTCAGTTACCACATTTGTCTTTTCTTTGGCAAGTGACCAAGGTATAAGCGAGATAATGGTCTTTGAGATGTCCATTATAAGGAATTAATAGCTTCCACAAAGTCCAGTAATTCCTGATAATGGACACCTGGTCGAACATAATCAATGTTGCCAAATGATGCCAAACCATAATGTCAGGGCCATTTGGTTCTAATCAGGGTTAATATGGGCTTTGAGGAGATTTGTTTATGACAGCTGCTTGGCCCATCTCAAAATACTCAATCAAGATACATACCATGTGAAAATTCAGCAACCTTTGATATGGTTTAGTGCTTCCAAATCAATATCAAATATTCCACTGTCAGTCTTTTACACTCAGTTATCCATTGTTCCAGGTGCTTACATCAGGCTGCAGGCATCATCACCTCGTCTTACCTCAAGTAGATTGCTCTTTGCATCGTCACAGCCTGTTTTCACCTCTGCATACTTGGCTTGTAGCTGTCAAAAAACAAATACCTGTCAATGAAAGCTATGACAGCTTCCCTGATCACTTCATCTTAAAGGTGTCCTACCAGCTGAGTGATGCTGAGTGCATATAATGTAGAAGTACTGCATGTGTTTTCTACTCTATGAGAGCTCCTCTGCCTTCTCTTCTACATGTGGGTGCTGTACTTAAAGACATACATCAATTGTAAATTGGTTCCTGTGGATAACAGTGGCTCTGGTTGTAACGAGGTGTTAACACATTGGGGTAATCAGCTCGGTGTGTGCGGAGTATACATAGAACCACAGCTGACCTCCTCCAGCTGTTTAGTCTTCTGCTGGATCTGCTTGTTGAGTGAGCCCACTGCCCTGCGGTGCTGCTGCAGAGGGCCATAGCGCTCCGAGCGCTCCTCTGACGACAGCTCCGACTGCTGCAGGGACACATGGGAGATGCAGTACAGTAAGAAGAACAGTAGCATAAAAGCTTTTTATTAAAGTGCCGGGCAAACACAAGCTGATTGGATGGGTGTGTGCGGTGTTTGTAAATGCATCTACAAATGTCTGGAGGATAAACCAATACACTGATTTATTCCTCTCCATGTTTCACTTCACCTGTTGCAACAAAGAAGCACAGACTTAAGAGAAGAAGAAGCTTGTAATGTTTGTCATTGTGATTTTAATAGCTCAGTCTAGTTGAGATCCGGCCATTTAAATTCTCTTTCTCTAGGATCATGAGAACCTAGATTCTATGATCATGGTTTGAATCATGAGAAACACAGAGGCTGCCTAAACATTTAGAAAGTGCTGTTTCATAATATGCAGAAGGCCCCAGTTCATACGCATACATCCTGCTCAAGTGTCCTTCAGCAAGGCATTACTCCTCTAGTATGTCGCGTCAAAATAGACATATATTAAATGATACACAAATACATATTCATTGAGAAATGTTGAGGTTAACACAATAACGTTTAAGGATAACTTTTCCATTGTGGTTCTCTTTCCAGGAACAAAGACAGCAGTCAGAGATGACTACGGTACCATCATAGTCTACACAAAGAAACAATAGATCCTTTAATATATACAGCAACAGAGCGAGGAAAAGACAACATACATGCATCCCTCTCCTTCTAAAGGTATACCTCAAACACACCTACAGTACATGTATGTACTATACATGCAGAAGCTACACATACTGTACGTACACACTTCCCACCTATTTACATCCATCAATATCATATTATACACATACACCCAGAGGTCCCTCACCAGGCGCCTGTCACACCAGCAAAGCGACCACGGCCTTTGTGCACACATGCAGGCCTGTGTACCATGCTCACACACATACAAACACCACGTACTGTTCAGATAAACATTTCCCACATGCATGTTACAACTTGTGACAGGACTGACTTGATTATATTTCAACTGAAACTCTATTCCACTCTACTGCTGAAATGTACAGGAAGGTATATTGTCCAGAACATGTCTTAAATCCACATGGCACAGTCTCTGTGGCCCTGCTACTCGTTAAATATGTATCTTTATGGCATTGGCGCACTTGCAGATGCGGTGGTGGCAAAGACTCAAAGACTTTGCTACATTTAAGACAAAAATACACTCGTCAACATCGGAAAAGAAAGTACGAGGAATGGATGAAGTGCAGCAGATCTTGACACGATTCCCATCCACAAGATCTTCCAACCACTCAGCTTGACTGGCCCAATCAAACGCCATCAAAAGTGTTGTGACCGGCCCAGGATGAGAGCAAGAGACGGGATAAAAGCTAAGCAGCTAGGACTTAAGGTTAGCTAACGTCCAGCCGCTGGAAGATAAGATGGAGGAAATAGAACTTAGGAAACCTTTATGGAAACCAGGCTTCATCATCCCGGATCAAGACGGTCTACCGCGCAGACAGAACTCACGCCTCTGGTAAGAAGAGTGGA